AAATGCAAATATAAAAGTTCACTATGAGTGTCAGGCTTTAATTATAGAAGTGTGTAATAAACACCAACTGGAGAGGTAGAATGGACAGATGAAAAGATGGAGGGCTAAAGGAATGCGCGTAATTTGGGAAAAACAAGCATAAAAAGAGGGAATAAAATTATTTTCCACTAGGCCATTTTATCTTTCCGTACTAATCCAAAAGAGGAAAATTCTTAAATCGTAAATACTTTAATAAAAATAATGAGTACATTTAGTCAGTGATAATGTTTTTGAGCTTTCTGCTTCTACAGTTGACTTCCTTTAAGGTCAGATCTCATAAAAAAAGCAGGGCATATTGAAATTTTATTTTATTTTTTTTACCAAAGCCAATACTTTGCACAAAAATATGAATATCTGACCGTTGTCAACATGTAAGAGAAAATCCCCACATTAGTTTGAAAAATAACGACCGTCCTGTGTTGGAGAGGCTTTATTTTGGCCAGCTTCACCTTTTCTCCCCAGCAGATGTTTTACGTCTTTTCCAGTCATCGCTAAGTGGCCGATAACTAATTAGAAGTGGCGGTGGAGAGTATGAATCAGATCTACGCAGTTCATTTTTTCGACAGGGTTTCCTGGATCTTACAGCTTGGTGTCTGGGAATCGGCGGGCCTCTGGGTGGAGTCTGACGCCCCTAAGCTCTCCTCTGTCTCAGTGCCCGGGTCGGTGACATCAGCTCCCTGGGAAGAGCAGGAACGAAGGAAAATTATGAAAGAAAGCGAGGAAAACGAAAAAATAAATAAATAAAAATGATGGATATTAAATGTTGAATGAAGTGAAGGAAAGGGGAAAAACACAGGGGAGGAAGATGGGTGAACGTGAATGAAGTTGGCACATGATTGCTTAGCAGAAGACACAAATTACCGACTCACTGCATTGAACAAAGATGCCTTTCAGTAGGTGGAAAAAGCTTTAACCAGGAATCAAAACGACAAGTCTTTAATCCTCACAAGGATTATTCATTCTTAAAGGTGATGAATGTGTAAAACTAAATAGAAATATTTTAACACACAAACTAAAAAAAAATGCACCAAGAAATCCTGTGATGTTACTATCAGCTGGAATTTATACATTTTAAAACTTCATTAGGCCAGAAGAGAGCAAGATAAAGCAATGCTTCAGATAACAGGAAGGTTGAACAAAGTTGTCATTTTGTGCTTTCTGACTATGAAGTACGCAGGATTTGGAGATGCTGACAGCTTTTTGGATATTTTTACTGTCAAATTAGTTAAACCTGGTTTTTTATTTTTATAATGTTGCACAAGAGCTAGAAAAAAACACTTTCAATGCTTATTGCTGCAAAGTTAATGGCTTGATGCAATCAACTGGATTTCCATGGATAGAAAACTTTTTACTAATTTGAATACAAATGAAACTTGACAGAATAGATGTTATCGATTCTTTTTGTGCAGTGCCTTGAGACGACTTTTGTTGTAAACTGACACTTTATTATGTTATATAAATGAATTATTTTCATTTAATCGAGAAGTTTATCATCGTTAGAGACACACCTGTCTCCTATTATATCAGAAACAAACTATGTAAAAACAGTAGAAATAAAAATACATTTGATCTGAACATCATAACATAACAGCATAACAGAAATTAAGCTCTTCTCATAATTTTTGACTGGCTTTTTTATGCTTCCAGTGGAGTTCTAATTTATTTATATAGAGCCACTTCACAACAAGCGTCTTCTCAAAGCTCTTTGCAAAAAAAAAAATAAATTCCTTTTGTGATGAGCTTTAAATCTTTGAGGTAGAAAGGCCTCTTTGCCATCACCCTAATCTTCAGCTCCCTTGACAGATTCTATGTCACTTCAAAATATTTTTATCATTTCCAATCAGAAGAAATTCACCAATAATTACATGTGTGCAACTGAAGCGTTAACTTGTCCTAAAAATACTGAATCCTTGTTCTTTACTTGTCATGTAGGAGGCGCCGTCTCTTCTGAGCCTTTATTCAGAGTCTGGAGAAAGACTGAAGTAATTCTGGCGCAAAAACACGACTTTTTGTACGAAAGCCAATATTAGAAACAACAACGAAGCGGATTGGTGTGTCTCTGTTTTCAGAGGGGAGTTAAATGTCACTTTTGAGACACTGACTCATCCGACTGAATGTGAGCAACTAACAAAAGAGCAAAAGTTATTCTAGACAAAAGAGCAGAATTATGACAGAAAGGTCAAGTGAAAAACAGACACTGGAACAACACAGTATGAGCTGGAAAGGCTGAGTGTGTTGGGATGAAAAATAATACGTGGGAGGGCGATTAATGACGAATCATTTCATGAGAACGAGATTTATGTTCTGGTGTCCCAACCTCTGTCTCGTCTCCTTCATAAACTTCGTTGCCATCACCGCTTCCTTCGTTGCTCTCCTCTCCTTCCTCCTCCATCCCCCCATCATCGTCATCCTCATCTTCTTCGTCTTCTTCCTCTTCCTCTTCTTCTTCCTCGTCTTCCTCCTCCTCCTCTGCATAGTCCTGTAGCATTACAAAGCAGCAATGAGAGGAATCGGGGACATTTCATATAAAGAGACTTTAACAATGTTCAATCAGCACTTTACCTGCTCTTCTCCCTCTTCCTCCTCCTCCTCTTCGCTTTCAGAGTCCGTCAGTATGACGATGACTTCCTGCTGCAGGTGGTCAGGCGTTTCGCTCTGACTTGGGGTGATCGCCGGCTCTGCTGGGACCGACTGAGAGGCTGAATCTTCCTCCGCTTCCTCGAGGTTTGAAAACTCTGTCTGCAGGGTGAAATATATCAATGTAACATAAACATAGAAAAATAACCTCAATGCATTTCTAAATGACAGCATTTGTACTAAATAAAAATATTAATTTTTTTTTTAAAACAAGTTAGAATTATCTGATACAAACCTGGCTTGGTTCTGCTCCATCCTCTGATGGCACCACGCCCTCGGCCTCTGCACTCTCGTCAGCCATCGCTTCCTCCTGAGATCACAACCAATACGCCATCGATTGCCATTAGGAATAGTAATTATTGACTAAATTGAAACAAACCAAGCAAATCATTTTAAGGTTCAGGATTTTCTGCCCAAATTAAATGCTTAAACAAATAAAGTTAGAAAAAAAATCTCTAACAAATATAAATAACTGGTGACTGTAACTGATCTAAAACAAGAAAAGTTTAGTCTGGTTTAACTTTAGGAAATGAGGAAAAAAAAACATATCTGTCTTTTTATTAGGTGACTGAAAATATCTGGTTTCAACTGTAAATAAAGTTTAGGATTTTAATCAAATGTTACAAAACTGTGCAGTTTGAACATGAATCACTTTCAAAACCTTGGAATCACCTCTTTGAAATTCATGCATAGTCAAGGATTCCAAGCACCAATATAAATCTACCAGACAACCATTTTGTCAAACTGAAACCCTCTTCCTCCCCTCTCTTCCTCTTCACCTCTGGTCCCACCCTCTGGATGATGCGCAGCTTTTTGGCCACTGGAGCTCTGGGTTCCTCCTGGGTCGCCTCCACCTCAGTGAACGCAGCAGCGCTGCTCTCCTCTTCCTCTCGAGGTCTCTTGGACATGGCCAACGTCCCAGGTGTCGCTGAAACTGGAGTAAAGGTCCAATTAATACGATGTGTACAGAAACAGGATGCATACATTTAATGCAATACATTTTTTACCCGCAGAAATGAAAATGAATTCAAATTAATCTGAATGTGTGTGTATTTCTTCATTTTCCAGATTGGGGAAGTGTTTTTCCATTTAGTTGTTTTATGAATGTAATATACATTTCAATGCAATTCATTGCAAAAAGAATTCAAAATCATTTATACATTAAGGCAGTGGTTCCCAAACTTT